ATTATGTGGAAAATAATGTGTTTTTTTAACCTTAAACCGCATAAACACATTGCGTTACACCAAATACACAACATAATGTTCTTTGTAGCAGCGTCATATGACCCCTTTAAGTATTGTTTTTCCTATTTTTTCCCGAAATAGGATGGATTGGCCATTATTGATCGCTATAAATGCATGTAATGTCAGTTTCATTCATACTGGAAGCCAGAGGGCGCCCTCGCGCAGAAACTCCACATGTGCATCACAGAAGTGTTGCTTTTTCAGAAGCATATTATAAGCAGAGAGGCGTTTCTTGGTCTCAGTGCGTGAACTGAGCACACGGACGCAAACAGAGCCAGTTCAGAGAGAAATACAATGCACAGAAGTTATTTAAATGAATAACCGGAAAAAAAAACGCAATTCACAAGCGCGTATTGATCCGTGGATGTCGTACCGAACGGTTCAATATTATATTGAGAATTGTGGCATCCCGACATGATATTATGTCTACCTTACGAATTGAAGGCTTATGGGTTAATCAGACTAACATTATATATTATATTATATTATATTATATTTAGGGATGCGCGATATTATCGGAACGTTATCGGAATCGGCCGCTTAAAATGCAAATATCAGCATCGGCCCGATATGAAAAATTATGCCGATATGCCTTGCCGATAAGATGAGCAACTCGCATGTGCTCAGGGTGTGATAGCAATAAGATCACGTCAGCAGTGGGGTCATTCTTGAAGCGAACTTTTTCCTGAATGATGATTAGATTCACTGTTTTGAGCATTTAATTTGAGAATGCACATACAGAATGACGTGTCCGGTGTGCGATAGTCAACAGCCACTAGCGCGAGCAGCGGCAGCAACAGCCTCCCCCGGGTCCTAATGTCTCTCTGGAAAGGCCTTTTATTTACTTAGGGAGCACTTTTGGCCTACTTGTAATAAAATGAAAGTAAAATACACAAATAACATTTAAGATTGTGTCTCTGATTAAATAAAGGAGTAATTGATGTCATAAAAACACGAGTATGGTTTGATTTAAAGGTCAGAAGGTATAGCTTACATGAATAAAAATCAAACAAGACAAATTTATATATATACAGATTTATTCATTAATGTGTAATGCTTTTTTCTAAACAGATTATGAAAACTTCAAATGTTAAATATTCAAATAAAATGTTGAGGATTGCTTTATAAGTTACTTTATAGATATTTTCAAAGCTTTCAATGTACTCTCATTATAAAACTTACTTTTGAGAAGTTCTTTTTGTTAAAAACTAACCAAAATGAAAAATAATTTGTTTATAATCTCTGTACAGGAGAGACTTTGTGTTGTTTCCAAACAAAAGGAAATATATCGGCATCGGCTATCGGCCAAAATTAGTTAAAATATTGGCATATCGGATATCGGCAAAAATCCAATATCGTGTATCCCTTATTATATTATATTATAAATAATTATATAAATGTTATTAATTTATAATCAAAATTATTTGTTAGACAATTAATCGCGAGGAAAAAATTAATGCTCTTGACAGACCTTATTACATTATATTAGGGCTGTGCAAAAAAATCGAATGCGATTTGTCATGCGCATCTCGTCAGTAAAGCCGGAGCGGAGCGGCATTTACTTCACAGAGCCGTTGTTCACTTGACAAGCTTCGATTTTTTGCACAGCCCTACATTATATTATATTATATATTCTTATAAATAATTAAGTATATAAATGTACATTTTACAGCATTAAAGTAAATCATATGGACCTTTTTTTATTATATATGATTCCAAGTTTAAAAAATTACAAATTAACAAAACTACAAAACATTTGTGTGACAATTAATATGTGTGTATATATATATATATATATATATATCAATAGATTATATACGATATATACAAAGTGAAAACGTGACATGAACAAAACAGAATTAAATCATTAATTGTAATTATTAATCGTCCGCACAAAATTCATAGTCATGACTGGGGTGCGTGCGTTTGTGTGTTTGTTTGTGTTTGTGTTTGTGTGTGTGTGTGTGTGTGTACAGGTGTGATCACTCACCAGCGCGGTCAGTCCTCGTCGGAGTCTCCTCTCTACGACATTCACCTGTGTTTCGGTGAGGAGTGGCCCGACGACAGACCGCGAGAACGCAAACTCATCATGGTGCAGGTGAGACGTTTCGCCCAGCAGACTGAAATATGCATGCATGGAGGACTTCGTGTTAAAGATATTAGGGAAATATGAACATAATAATGTCTACATAAAAATAAAATAAAATTAATAAATCGTATAACATGCATATATAAGGAGGACTTTGTATTAAAGATTTTAGGGAATGAATATTGAACTTAAAATATTTAAATAAAAATATTTTAATAAAAATATAAATGAATGAATAACATGCACGTGAGGAGGACTTTGTGTTAAAGATATTAATGAGTAAGTTGTGAACTTAAAAGTATAAATAAACACATAACATAAATATAAAAATAAATGTGCATAACAGATGGAGCACTTTGTACTTTGTGTTAAAGATTTTAGGGAATTAATTATGAAATATAACTAAATAAACAAATTATGTAATGTAAATGAAATATAAATAACAAAGATATAAATAAATGTAAGAAACAAGTATTTTATGTTAGTTTATAGTTTAGCAACTATTCGTAATACAGTTTATAAGGTTTTAAAGCAATAATAGCTAGAAATTATGCAGACATAATTAACTTTATTTTTAAATTTACTAAATATTATTTTACTTTTTTATTGATTTTTTTTTATTTACTATGTTATTTAAATTAATTATGTATTGTTTTTATAGTTTATAATTAACAATTTTATTTAAATAAATTAGTGCTGTCAAACGATTAATCGTGATTAATCGCATCCAAAATAAAAGTTTTTGTTTACATAATATATATGTGTGTACTGTGTATATTTATTATGTATATATAAATACACACACATGCATGTATATAAGAAAAATTTTATGTTTATATAATAAATATATTTACATATGATAGAATTTATATGAATATAAATATATACATGCAAATACATGTAAATATTTTAAAAATATATACTGTATGTGTGTGTATTTATATATACATAATAAATATACACAGTAGGGCTGTCAAAAAAAAATTCGAATTTCGAATATTCGTCGAATTTAAAAAAAAAATCCACATTCGAATGCAAAAACGTTGCATTCGAATTTAAGGTCTGCGTCAGCCGTCAGGCAGCCTTATCAGTGGCGCACGAGATGCGATGACGATGTATGTGTCATTGATTGCATTTGAATGCTTTTGTTAGCCTATCCAGTTCATTCATATATTGCGGAAAACGAGAGCATCAGTGTGGAGAAGATGTTTACGTCAAAACTGAAACCAAGCCGTTCACACAGAACGCATATTTATCACATTTTCTAGAGGGACATCTATCAGCGTTGCACTCGCGTCTCGCAGAGAGCGGCATGTTTAGAAAGCCATGTAAAATTAATGTTGTAAGTTTAACTTTTAAAAAAACATGTCTAAAGACCTTATGGCGGTTTTCCCCATCCCACTGTATCTCATGTTTTTAAATGAAGAAAGTAGCCTACTCTTTGTGATTGGTTTTCGTTGCTTTGTATTAAACTATACATACATGCATGGTGCTGTTTTTTTTTTCTAATTGTTTAAGCAACTTTATTAATTACATATGTTTTATAAACATTAGCCGTGTTATTTTATTGCTTTGAAGAAACGTGCATTAGTAATATTTTGCTCGATGCGCCCTCTTGTGGCCTCAAGAGAAGCCAAAAGCTTTTTTCCCCCTAACTGAAATTATGCCTTTTAAATTCGAATATAATTTGAATTTTGATCATATTTAAGTAGAAAATTCGAATGTTGTTTTTCAGTCATTTTGACAGCCCTAACACACAGTACACACGCATACATTATGTAAACAAAAACTTTTATCACGATTAATCGTTTGACAGCACTAAAATAAATGTAAAGTGAATATGCAAATTTGAATAAACTATAACTTTGTACTTGCTAATCAAATAAAATATCATTTATCTTGAACATTAACTTAACTGCACAAATATGACGCTTATATAAACTAAACTAACAATGGTTGTTTTTACCTAATGAAATATGTCCTGCATAACTTATGCAGATTTTAGCCCAGACGGACCAATCAGAGCAGCTGTGGGCGGGGCTAGCGTGCTCAGTGTGTGTGTGTGTGTGCGTGCAGGTGGTGCCGGTGGTGGCGCGGATGATCAGCGAGATGTTTTCTGGCGACTGCACGCGCTCCTTCGACAGCGGCAGCGTCCGGCTGCAGATCTCCATCCCCGACATCAAGGACAACATCGTGACGCACCTGAAGCATCTGTACCGGCTCCTGCAGACGCACCAGGGGCAGGAGAACTGGCTCCCGCAGAGACTCTGAGCGCTTTTACTGTGTGGCCCAAGTCTAGCACACCATTAATGATCAGCCACGCTTGTCTAAGTATGTTATGCGATATATTTTGAAATAACAAAATTTTGACAATTATATTTACTATGTAATATCTAAATTTTACATTTCATATATTTTAAACTTGAATAACTAATATTTACATATAACTTGTGTAATGTGATATATGTTATATATAACATATTATAATATATAACGCATCATGTGATATTCTATATATATATATATATGAATTTAAAATAATATCTATATTTCTTAATATTTCCTCTATATTAAACAAGTTAGAAATCTTGACATATATTAAGATATAACTTGTTTAATATAATATCTAGATTTAATTACATTTTACATATGTCAGAATAACAAGGTATATCAAAATAGTATATATTAAATTATATGTATCTATAATATCTGAATATTACATTTCAACTATATTAAACAAGTTATATCTAAGTATTGTAATTTGATCAAATATTTGCGTATAACTTGTTTTAATGTTATATTTAGACAAAAAATATATTGAGCTGTCAAAATAAAATTAGCTATTTAATTCAATTATATCTAAAAATTGCATGAAAAGTTATAGTATTTTAAGTTACTGTAATATTTAGATGCTTAAGTCATCAGATATTTTGAGCCGATCTCACATCATGTAGGTTTGGGAATGGATTTATCAAACACAAAGAATCTGAGTTTTCGTTGTTTCAGGCCAGTTTTGGCTGTTTTTCTGGTTAACCAGGATATGGATTGAGCACAGATTGCTGGTCCAGTATCTCCAGCACTAGTGCCTGAGGTGTGTTTATCAGTCTGTAGGTGTCGTGTGTTATTTCTCCACCCATCTGAGCTCCTCCTTTAAGACGAGTTCAATCAGACTTTGGCCCCAGGAGCGGCTCCTGTTCCTCTGTCCCTCACGCTTTAAACTAACGCAGAGAAACCGCAGAAGATCTCAAGACTCGGCTGAGAAACCTCTCCAACAGCTCGTCTGATCCTCTCGGTGAGTGTTTTCAGTGCTTAGATGAGCTTCAGGGGTTTGGATCTCCTCGAAGAGCTCAAGCGGACGCTGAGGTCACATCTGATCCGCTTCTGCTTTGATTGTGGCTGCTTTGGTCTTCATCGAATGGTTAATCGGGACTCTTGGTGTGTTTGTGATCGAATCGTTTAGGTTTTCTTGTGTGCTTCTCGAGAATCTCTGGCTGTTATGTAATGTTCCTGTGGTGACGGAGGTCAGATTACAGCGATCGTGGTTTATGAGCTCATAAACATGGGCAGATCGTCGGCTATAGTGATTAATATAATATATTACTGACTTTAAATGTGACCCTGGAGCACAAAACCAGTCATAAGAGTCAATTTTGTGAAATTGAGATGTATGCATCATCTGAAAGCTGAATAAATAATATTTCCATTGATGTATGGTTTGTTAGGATATAACAATATTTGGCTGAGACACAACTATTTGAAAATCTGGAATCTGAGGGTGCAAAAAAAAATTCTAAATATTGAGAAAATCATCTTTAAAGTTGTCCAAATGAAGTTCTTAGCAATTCATATTATACTAATCAAAAATTAAGTTTTGATATATTTACGGTAGGGAATTTACAAAATATCTTCATGGAACATGATCTTTACTTAATATCCTAATGATTTTTGGCACAAAAGAAAAATGTATAATTTTGACCCATACAATGTATTGTTGGCTATTGCTACAAATATACCCCAGCGACTTAAGACTGCTTTTGTGCTCCAGGGTCACATACGAGAAAACGAAATACACAGGAGTCCTCGATTCCACAGTTGGCCAGTTTTACCATTCATATACCGTGGTATTCCTCAGGTACCATGGTATAAGTACTACTGTATGGTATATGGATGGTGTTTAATGGTAGTGCCGTAAACTCAATTTTTTGTACAATTTGCGTAGTATTTCAAACAATACCATGGTACTTTTTTAAGATATGGTAATACCATGGTGTTCTTCTACCTTACACAACCAAATATCTTACCTAAGGTCCTCGGAGATACTGTAATATTCTTGAAGTACTTTACAATGGTGTGTAAGCACCTTAACTGAAATACCATGTTTTTACTCAAAAAAACATGGTGGAAAACCATTATATTGTGTACCATGCAGTACCATGTGAAATACCATGGTATATGAACAAAATTGTGCCTAAAGGTACCATAGTAGACTTTACCATGACACAATAAGGTTTCACACAGCAATACTATGGTATTTTGAAAAACTGCATGGTATTCAATGGTATTTCAAACAAAATCAAGGTATTTGTTTTGTAAGTGATGAGAATGTCATGGTATTTGTGTGTGTGAAGTTGTATAATAGATACTTAAATATTACAAATATCA